TGCATGGTATAAGTTAAAAATTTAACACATAGTCATGAAAAACACAGTTAACTTACCTAATTACGTATTGCTTCCATAAATTCTTGCCACTAGTTTGCCTTTGAAATCTTTTTGGTTAGAGTATTTCATCTTTGGGAACACAAGTTCCATTAATATTAACATGCTTATCATATCAGTTTGAATAATACGTGCATACTATTATCCAAGAAACTTTCTTGTTAAATGTTTGATATATACATCTTAGTCTAAGCTTCTTCACCCATATGCGGGAAGGGTCGGACATAGTTATGGAAATGAGCTTCTGTCAGGTCAATGTTGTGATTTTGTTTCTGATAATGCTAGGAGAGGGGGGTATTCACTTAAGTGACAAGATCCATAAAATCATGATATTTCAGCAGTTTTCTATTTCTGAATTAATTTTAACATCATTATAGCAAATCAATGTTTACATACACATGTACATTTGTTTCTGTTTTGAAGAACTATCATATTCTTTTCTCTAGTCCAAAGCAGATAGAATACATTATTTGGGTTACAACTCCCCAAGATCAGAGATGTAAGATTCATGGATGGTTTGTTGCATTGTGATATGCCTAAAGTCCTAGATGTATGCATTAAAACGAAATTTTAAATGGCACAGTGGGTTGACTGCTTTTCATTCTTAGCTCTTTTGTTTCGAATAAAAAATGTCGAGCTGTAATAATGGCTGAGTCGGTCTTGTTATTGTTGGGAATCTGAAAAATCTTGACTGCAGTCCCAAATGCAAACAATTTAAAAGTTTGAAACTTTGAATATTTGTGACACAAGGGGCATTAATCTAAAAGCTATATATTTGGTGTCAGATGCCCCATTTTAACATACAATTTTTATTAAAATTGCTCGTTAAGTTTAATGATTTAAAGACCATCTAAGGTTTCAATATGAAACTTGGAACGCTTTCATATCATATCAAAATAAAGATGTTAGACAAGAGCATTATCTTGCAAGCAAAATTTTTAGGAGTTATGCCCCTTTTCAACTTCGAAACTCTATTAGTTATGTTCCCTCATTGGATAGAAATTCTATATAGCAAAATAGAATTTCTTTCTTCATCAAAAGTGAGCTGAATGACATGGTATGATGCACAGGTTCATCAAAGACTTAGGTTAACAGGCTTCTGTGAACTGCGTCATTTTAAGATGGCAGCCATTGCTGTCTGGGAGAGGAGTGGGGGAAGAAAGGGATGGCCCTTTACTAAATTACCTTTGTATTAAAAAAAAATATTTGAAGATGACTTACATTTGTCTTGTCTGCTTGTAAGTAAGAAGGAAAATTGTCATATTGTAGGATTAAGGATAACATTTGTCATATCCTATAAAGAATTTATAAACAGTAGTTTGTGAAACCAAGTCATGTAATTAATACTGATTTCTATGATACAGATATATATATATAAAATATAAGTAATGTTTCTATTGTTTGCACTGTATGAGTTAAATTAACATTAATCAAATTATAAAATAATTCTTTTCAAGCCTGAACTGAATTTCATTTCTACCGACTGTATCTCTAAATGCACAAAGCACAAAAATGCATGTTAATTAAATCAATTTGCAAAAAAATTGATATAACATGAACATTTTCAAAGCTCTGTATGTTTTAATTGATATAACTTTATAGAAATGGAAAAAAAAGAGAAATAAACATTTAATTGCCATACATTCATATCCTAAATATCACTTAGACTAGTTTCGCACAAAATTTCTTGTCAATTTTTTCACAAAGTTCAGAGCGAAACTAGTCTATGTGAATTTTTCATAAGATCATTAAAAAACTGTTTTTCTATCATATATTGTTATTATAACATACCCTGACGCACTAGTGTGCTTTTTTAATAAAATCACATAGAATAGTTTCGCATTCAGTCTTTAAGCCATATATGACAATATTCTGGCGCGAAACTATTCTATGTGACATTTCTTACTAAAACATCATTTTTAATGAACAGATTATCAAAACTGAAATAAGTATGGTTGAAGTTCTCTTAAATACATACTATATCTATATTATATTGAAAAATTCTGAAAATGTAACAAATGAGAAAGTTTTTTCCTTCTCCTGAACATTTTTAAAAAATGCACATAGACTAGTTTCGCGTTGAGCCCTCGACATAAGATAAACTTACATCTTGAAGAATTTGTTTTCAATTTTATTAAAAAGAGAATATTTGTTTAGTTCAGCGCAGCCACGAATGAATTATAAACTTTTTGTGTTCACGAGGTGAAATATATTTTGATCTTACACTTAACTAAACAAATTTTCTTTTTATCATATATAAGACTGTTTAATTTAACCAAAAAAAGTTCCGTGAGCGGTGAATTGATGTAAGTGTTATCTATTTGATCACGATGCATTTTAAGGTGGGGATCTAGAAGGAAACGTATTACATTCTATCAACAAACTACTTGTAAATACTCTTAAATAGATTAACCGCGTGGAGTGAAAAGTATGAAATATTATCTAATTGTCAATTTGGTTTTCAAAAGGGAAAAAACGGTAGACTGTATATTCATTTTACATTCTATCATATCAAAATGTATTAAATAGCGGGATGAAGCATTATGCGATTTTTTTAATCAAGAAACAAGGTTCGATAAAATTTTGCAAAAAATGATAAATCAAAACATAAGAACAAAATTATTAATGCTATAAAATTTATGTATTCTGTTGATCGCTTTGCATCGGAACATAATGGAAAAGTCAATTCCAGTTTCATCACCTCACGTCAAGGGATCAAGCATGGAGACACAAGTTATTTTCTAATATTCATGATGTTCCTTAATGACAAAACGGAAAATATCGATACAGATATTAACGGTTTATCTTCATTTAACGAACTGTTAGTATTGTTTACTACCACAGTTGAATCTTTAAAGCATTTGTTAAACGATGTAAAAATTACAGCAATACATTTTGATTAAAATAAACACAAGTAAAGCCAAAGTCATGATCTCTGAAAAGCGAAGACTTGTAAAGACAAGTCACGATTTCTAAGTTGATGGCGAAAACCTAGAGGTTGTTTCATCCTTTTTATTTAAAAAAAACGGTAACAGGTATACATGGTACAGTACGCAAAAGTGTATTGCAGAACATGCATCAAAAGCGGAAATTTATATCGTTTATTTTCTGTTTTTGATCAATTCTCGAATTTACGCTTTCTGAAAAATGTACATTATTTGATATATTGACTTAATCTTTATTAAACTACTGCTTTAAAATATAGGGAGGAAACGACTGATTCACACTAAATTTTGTCGAAAAGTATTTGTCGTAAATAATTCCAGAAACTTAATAGGAGTTTATGGTGACTAATGAAAAAGTAAGAAAGGTTATTATGATTAGATATTGGTGTATATTACTGATTAGGTAACGGTGTAGGTTATGATTAGGTATTGGTGTAGATTATAATGAGGTATAGGTGTAGGTTATGATTAGGTATTGTGTAGATTATTATTAGGTATTGCTGTAAGTTATGATTAGGTATTGCTGTAAGTTATGATTAGGTATTTGTGTTGATTATGATTAGGTATTGGTGTAGATTATAATCAGGTATTGGTGTAGATTATGATCAGGTATTGGTGTAGGCTATGATAAGGTGTTGGTGTAGGTTTCCACAATTGAATGGAAATTCTACTGTCAAACAAATATATAACATGAAATTAAGTGATTTAGATAGAAAAATTACATATACGTTTGAACTTGCATCATACCATGATAATTATACGATACACAAAAATTCAGAATAGTACCAACTAGGTTTTGCCTATCACCACATAACCTGGAGATTGAACGAGGAAAATATAATTATGTAATAAGGAACGAAAGAATATGTCAATTTTATAATCTAAATATGATTGAAAAGTAATATCACTTCCTATTAACTTGACCATTATACTAAAATATTCGAAACAAATATCTGCCACTTAATTATTACACGTGGTAATCTTTAAACAAATTTGATCACTTGATGACAACAAAGAAGAAAAAAAAACAGCAATAGCAAATATCTCGAAATACGTATACTTTGTAAATAAACTTCGAAAATCTTGATAAATTATTGTCTTTCCCTAGTCTTTCTTGAAAATATTTATAAATTCATATATTTTACTTCTCTTTTTTACATTTTGTACATTTATTTAACTTCTAATTATACAAAAGCTACTTATACAAAACAAGTTTCTCTCTTAAATTACTGTACGTGTTTAATTGTGACTTTTCTTTTGTCTTATGGTAGTGTTTATATTTCATGTGTAACTACTACAGATGCAAATATAGCAGCTTAAAGTGATGTTAGATATTGCTTTATGTTGAATAAATGTTGTCATTGTTTGATCGTATTTTTTAAATAAGGTTCAGCTTTGTTTTGCTACAGACAACCCTTACAATGTCTGAATTTATCAATTGTTTGAAATCGAAAATACATGTGAGGCGCCGCATGGGGAACATCTCTTCATTGGATTTTTTAGTTTTCCAAAAAAAAAAAAAAAAAAAAAATCGGAACCGAAAATTTAAACTTGAAAATTTAACTTTGGCATTGTAGCACGACCTCTGCCATGTAAGTCTTTTTTGTAAGTGAGAAGCATCCTGAAAATTCATCGAGCTATTCAAAAGAAAGAAAGGCAAGGCATACATTTGCTGAAATCAAACCTTTCTTCTTTCAATTTGACCTTGACTGGTGCCTCTGACATGTGAAGTCAATAATATTAACATTTTACCTTATCTTTATAATCCATTACGCAATTAAAAATAAAGAGCTTTTAAAAATGCCTTTTTTTCTATATTCATCTTTCGTCTTTTACCCCACTCTTGCAGTTTGGCACTTGAAATACCGATACTTGGCATCGTTTCGATGAGATAAACATTTCAGTATAATAATAAAAAATCTTATGAGAAGTTCAAAATATATGTTGGGAAAACTATGAACGTTTCAAATGTGACTCAATTTATTAAGAAATGAGGCATTTAAAAAAAGAATGTTTTATTAACCAATCCGTATGATAGTACATGTCTTTTAAGGCACATTACGCATCAGAAACGAATATGTTTTTACTTCTACATTAATTTTTTTAACATTTAAAAAATAATTATTTTCGAGAACGTAAAATGCTTGTTACGTGAAGAACGTAGTGCTTAATGTTAAATAATTGTAACCAAAGTACCATTTTGACTTCCAAACAGTTACTTAATCTCTCTGAATGTACTTACTGCCAAAAGGCAACAGAAAAAAAATGGTCCAGGTAATTGACCTATGATTTTTTTTAGGAAACTATAATAATACACATGAAACATGCAAAGCTTCTGAGAAGTATAAATTAAAAAAGATTTTCTGGTGCATAATGTGCAAATAAGCAATATCAAAATAACACAATGAAATAAATGTATAAAGAACAAATGATAATGCTTTTTCTTCTCTCTTACCAACAAAACATATATAAAACGTTATGATGTAGAAATCTATTCTTGTGTATAAGAAAATACAAGGTGTATTAAAGCTCTTCTAAACAATGTATAAAAAACAAAACAAAAAGACTAAATAAACACCTGTAAGACAAAAGGCATAAGACGGATGAAGATATGTATATAATATTGTTTAATATTATTTTAATTTTATTTTATTATAGTAAAGCGAACTCTACATGTATATCTAATTCTTTAAAAAAAAGGAATTACAAGTAGGAATATGTTTTTAGCATTATCAGAAGCTAAGATCAAAAAAAATGCATGTTTATAATACAAAAAGGTAAAGCAGATAACAAATGAGCTTTTTATTGACAGTTTTCTTCTGCTTTAATGTTTAGTAGAAAATATTTGACAACAATTGATGACGGTGATTTTTATGCTTCGGTATCGGGAGGGAAAACAAAACTATGCATAGACCCCTGACCTGTCTACTTCTAAATATCAGATTAATGATCAACATAATTTTTTGTCCAATCACATTGAAGTATTTTCCAAATTTCTGCTAAGGCTAAATTTGGTTAATATGTACAAACTAAATAAAATTTACTTAGTCTGTCGTCTAACCAGTCTAACAAATTTCAATAATGCATTATATTAGGGGGGAGTTAGATGTGTGGTTTGCACTCTGAATTGTAAAATATCTAGGTAAGCAATACAATGCCAACGTAAAAAAATTAAACGAGGTCAGGTGTTTCTAAATGTGAGGATACAATCAATCAATTAATTTATTACATAGATAATACATGTGGGACACGCAAAGATAAATGATTACATAGTAACGTTTTATATCCTTTTAACTCTAAGAAAAAATGTCTGTTATAAATTTCTGACTGTTTAAAACTTTATATTTTCTAGAAAAAGTAACCAAAACATTATTTTCTTTCACTTGATAGGAATGAACTGCATTAACAATCTTGGATATTAGAATACAATGTTTACATTTTTGGCTGGAAAACACATTGTAAATGGACCCCTTCCAACTGTAAACCTAAATTGACACACAGAAAAATAACAAGTCAACTGTTTTTCAAATGAGCAAATCAATAGGGATTTTAAACGTTAGTGAATAACTTGAAGCTAATACGAATTTGTATCAATTAATAATCTCTAATGTATTTTTCTCAGATTTTTTTCCCCAGATATTTTATAGAAACATGATAGAGGTACTGTAGATAAAGGTATAAATTCTGTGACATTTCAGTAAATTATGTGCCTTATTATATGTTGAAAGGGCCATAATTGTGACATATTAGAAACTTGACAAGGTGTAGACATCTTGTAGAGCGAAAGGGCGGAGCTATCGGTGATTTAGAGAAATGCCTTGTTTTTGGTTGAAAAAAAAAAAGAATGTTGATCATTAAATAGGTTAATGTTTAATAATACGCATTAACAAAAATAATTGGTCGCCTGCCTGTGGCAGGCTTGACCAATTATTTTTGTTTATATGTATTATTAAACACTAACCTATACTTAGTGATACCTGAAATACCGATACTTGACATCGTTTCGATGAGATAAACATTTCAGTATAATAATATAAAATTCTTATGAAAAGTTCAAAAAATATGTTGGGAAAACTATGAATGTTTCAAATGTGACTAAATTTATTAAGAAATGAGGCATATAAAAAAGAATGTTTTATTAACCAATCCGTATATATATATATAAATGATAGTACATGTTTTAAAAATACATTACGCATCAGAAACGAATATGTTTTTACTTCTATAGAAAGGTCAAACATGATTTTTTTAATGTTAAATAATTGTCATAAAATGTAACCAAAGTACCATTTTGACTTCCTTACAGATTACTTATTTTCTCTGAATCTACTTACTGCCAAAAAGCAACAGAAAAAAAGTGGTCCAGGTAATTGACCTATGAGTTATTTGTGGAAACTATAATAATACACATGAACCATGCAAAGCTTCTGAGAAGTATAAATTAAAAAAAGATTTTCTGGTGCATAATGTGCCAATAAGCAATATCAAAGTAACACAATGAAATACATGTATAAAGATCAAATGATAATGCTTTTTCTTCTCTCTCATCAACAATATATATATATAACGTTATGATGTAGACATCTATACTTGTGAATAAGAAAATACAATCTTCTAAACAATGTATAAAACAAAAAAGACTAAATAAAATAAAATGTAGTTTTTTAAACAATTTTCAAGACTGTAATAAACTTATCATGTTAATAGAAAGAAGACCTTTTCATATTTTGAGATAAAGTCAAATTAAAGTTAATGTAAAACACACCTGTTAGAAAAAATGCATACAACTGTTAAGGATTTTTTTTATTGTATTTTTTTTCTTTATTCTTATATCTTTTTTAAATTTATAAGTAGGAGTATGTTTTTAGCATTTTTAAGATATGATCCAAAGAATATGCATAGATCCCTGACCTGTCTACTTCTACTAATCAGATTAGTGGATACAATAAGAATTTCACCACAAAATCCCTGTTATAACAAAATGTTTGTGGTTTAATCTATTGTTATTCAAATTAAAAGGTGAAAGTAGGATTCTATCATTTTTATTTTTAAATTGACTGGCGTCAATCTGACAATCCTTGGCTGCTTTATATGTCGATAAGAAGTTACTTTTTGGAATTAAGTTTTTGTTATAATCACAGCTTTATTTATAAAGTCTACATTTTTTCCAAAAGCTATAATATAAACGACATTTTAAGATAATTAATACATTAAATAGTACAATGCCCTTTAAATATAGGGGCAATGCACTTTTTTTTCGCTAAATCACATCTGTAAAAATTTAAAGACAGCATTGTTTAGACTGGTAACAGTGTCTAATATCTTTTCACATATTCAGTTTCAACTGCGTACAGCGTATTATAACAATTTTAGTCACCTTGATCACTTGATTTTGATCAATAACTCGCAAGCTTAACATTTGCATAAACAAATCTATTTAAATACCTTTTCAAAATAAGGGACATTATGTCAAAGAAATGTATTGATATGCGATATTTTATAAGAAGTAAAAATGAGAGCGTAAAGTTACACAATATAAGCTGACCAAGCTTGATCAGGAAGTGTTGGGAATGAAACTGAAATCAGGCCCTCTCCAAACTTTGGTTAACGATGTCTGTATTGATACCATGCATACCCATCGCATTTACAAGTATTTCAAAGGTTGCATTGCCTTCCATTTCATCCCTCCATATAAAAAACATTCTCTCTATTCGTAGTAAAGTAGTTGGACAGTCTAATGTCAAGTGATCCAACTGTACACGTGTTAGTCCCAACTCATAGGCGAGTAGACGATACTCTTGTCCTATTCTCCCCGACATTCTTCCTATCTCTCTGTCTGTTGGTTGTCGCTGAAGGACATCAAGCGGAAGGTTTGCTGGAGATTTAAAAAAAGAGACTAAGTTGTAATATATAAAAATGTTAATGATTAAAATGTCACATTTGTTCATAGTATCATTCTCATCTACACTGTATATGGTATGTGCTCATTGTATTATATTCACGTATGTATTAAAATGACATATATCATGTTACATGTACAAGTAAAGGAGTTCAATCAATACAGTTCGCCACGTGCCCTCAACTCTTCTCCTCATAATACCATTAAAGTGTTGAGGTAAATCTTGCCATTCTTGGTGCAGAGCTTGTTCCAGTTGTTGCAGGTTGACTATATTTGGTTCGTACCTTTGCCCAAATAAAATTAAAGATGTGGTCATGTCGAAATTGAGGCAAAATGCCGGATGAGCGGAGAAGGGTTTAGGGCACGTGGCGGTTACACACGTTATTAAAAATTTGGCTTTATAATGTCATTTTTGGTTACATAATCGTCTACATTTACAAAGTATCCACCATTAAATGTTTGTAACGCTCCAACACCATACTTGTATACACTTACATTTTTGGTAAAAACACATTTGCTTATGCTTCAATAATTTGGATATGAATAAACTTAACTCATTGATTTACTGGTTTATGATTACTAAAGTGTTATTGCTACCTATCAAATTACTATTTCTTAGCTCAATTAAGTTGTCATCTCATGACAGTGCTTTCAATCACAACCGATTTTAAATTTCCGGGGTGTGCTTTACTTCTTTCCAGGTGAATAAGTAAATAACATGATGCGGTTTTTTGTAAGTAATTTGAATCAAACAACAAGATATAACAAAAACTTGTAACAGAATTATCAACGTCCCACACCTTAGGACGTAGGAGGTAGGCCATGCAACATTGAAGTAAGCTAAAAAAATATTCCCCACAAGTTATTCTTTTATCTTTTTGAAAAAAAAACAACTGATATGACACAGGATTAAAACTTACTGCATTGTTGACAGAAACAACCACAAGTAAATAATGCATAATTATTTGTAAACTGTGTCTCTGAAAGACAACATGGAAGATTGGGGAACCAAATCAAAAGTATAAAGACTTAAATTACATAGTTACTATAATATCATTAATGTGAAAAATTCAATAAAATAGTCTAAACTATATACTTACTATTATAATACATCAGGATATGAAATATATGGTATATGGTAATGGGCTGAATACATTTCTACTACTGTCAGCTTATGCATTGTTCACTTTCAAGAAAGTTTCTGTCGTGCTCTATATACAACAAACATGACAAAGCTGCTTGACATGCACGACATTATAAGGTAAATATACAGTACTGAAATTAAATACCATTCGGCTTTTTTTCACCTTCTGACTACACTGCATCGTCTTAAACAAAACACGAAACACATCCTGTGAACAACATATCCTGTGAAGAACAGGACAGAACAGTGTTAACAACAGGATGTAGCGTATTTTTCCATGGTATGACACTGGAGATTTCTTTTATACGTGCAAAACACGTTACGCATCTAACAGTTGCGTGAGACAGGCTGTCTTATTATGCCTAAACAGAGCATTTTAGTTAAGTCATTTCAAAACTCTTTGATGGGACAAACAGAAGTAGTCCGTTTCTACATCCCCCTTTTTTCTTCCAAAATGCAGGGAACAATTATCCTATACAGAGTTTATCTTTAATACATTCGAAGTTATTCTCTGGATACGAAAGCACAGACTATGATATCTCTTAATTTTAAGTGTGACCTTGTACGACCGAACTCATAATGTACCCTATAACAGATAATATTAGTGTAGGCGACTGGTTATTGCACGCGAAACAACGTCTCATTATTGTGAACATATGAGCTAGGTATTTACAAGTCCCTTGATCTATGAAAAAGTTGAAAACTGGAACAAAATATACCCTATAACAGATTATGTTACTGTTTGACCTCTAGGTGTGACCTTGACCTTGGAGGTAGGGGTGCAGGTGTTGCGCCTGACATATCATCTTATTATTGTGACTATTTGTGCCAAATATGTTCAAAATCCATTGATCTTTGAAGAAGTTATAGACCTGACATAAAAAATATCCTAAAATAGACTATGTTAATTTTTTACCTCTAAGTGTGACCTTGACCTTGAAGGTAGGTGACCGGTTGTTGCGCATGGCACATTGTCTTATAATTGTGAACAATTGTGGCAAGTTTTTACAAAATCGCTTCAGAGATAAGAAAGTTATGGACCGGACACGACATATACCCTCAAATAGACACTGTTGACCTTGAATAAGCAAGTGCGACCTTGACCCTGAAGGTAGGGGTCTGGTTGTTGCGCATGACACATTGTCTTATTATAACAAGCATTTGTGCTAAGTTATTTCAAATTCCTTTGATATATGACAAACTTATAGACCGGACACAAAAGTGTGACGGACGGACGGACAGACAGAGCCTATTACTATATCCCCCTTTTATCTTCGAAAACCCGGGGAACAATAAAGAAACCCCTTTCAATGTAAGGCAACATATGTTTGCTTTTGCTAAAAGCAAAATACAAATAGATTAAACACTGTCCAAAAGATAATGTTAATATATTATGTAAGGACACAACCCACGGACATTGATCTTACCAGGTCGAATCTCGTCAAGAAGTTCCTCGTTAGTTAATCGAGTATATCTTCTTGTTGTTGTTAACAGTATTCCATTTCCATTGTAAGAATGAGCCCCATCATTTCCAAGCAGATATACAGTAATGCAATTGATCTGCCCTCTATAATGAAAAATCTCTAAGAATATGATTCGTAGTTAGCTTCAAACATATCTGATATTATATATGTATAACGGACATAAATGACAATAAAGCTTTTAAAAACAATTATCATTGATTTACATTACAGACAAATAGGTTGTACACTTCATTTCCTGCGGTATTATAAAATGGCAACGCGATGAACCCCGTTACTGAAGTTTCAGTTTAAAAAATATCGATTATAATGGTACCATTCATATATATTTTTCATTTTCATAAAATCAAAGATTTAAGATACTGAGATGAGAAAGTATATAATCATTTTTCCTAATTTACACTCTGTAATAACTGTCATCTTTGAGATTCTTTTAGAACGACATTTTGTTTTGGTAATGAAACTGCAGCACACATCGTAAACTATTCAGACATTACTTTAGTTCTATTCAATGACGTTATTTTACATTTAACTAAAAAGAAAACCTTATCACTAAAAAATCAAATATTCACTCTTTATATTCTTTTCGTAATTAACAAACTTATATTCATAACACTATTGTTACGTTTTTTAATTAAAACATTTGTGAAATTGCATCAATGGAAGTATTGGAGGTGACTATAAGATAAAGGTACGGGAACAATTAGTCACAAAGCGCTCCTCTGAAAACAGAATGTTATCTTGGAAAGCACAGAAAACTGTAACATCTTTAACCATGTCCTTTAAACTTTCAAAGGTAACAAAATCTATTATACTGTACTCTAGATGTTAGTCAGACAAGTTTTTAGTGCTCACTGACTTGCTGACCTTCCTCTTTAATTTTCTAATCGTGACAAATTTCAACACTAAAACTAATTCAATTACTGTTGGCTAAGGTAATCTAGTATAGATATTGGTCTGATAACCTTTAAGTAATCAAGGTCACGGTGACCTTTACCTTTCAATAACTTACTGTCTTCAAAATCAATAATGGTCTTAAACTAGATATTAGCGGCCTTCGTACTAAAGGACTGTATCCATAATGTTCTCTAGTTCCGTCGTTAAGGAAAATAATTGTTTAAACATCATTTTTGGTTGTTGGTAAAACGTTATAATGTGTACACTCGATATATAAAAGACACATTTAATTCAAATTTCATAAGCAAATTCATGTTTTACCTTTCTGGTCTTGCAAGATGTTTGTAGTCATCGTTGCCGGAATGAAGGAGGAAAGCTAACAGAATTAAGAATAGCTTGAGTTTCTCCATGAGCCGATTTCTTCGGATATTCTCTGTAACAAAAAGTCTGAACTGCAGCAACAGACACATTTAGTGGAATAAGATAATAAATGAATCACTTACTATAATGAATCTTGTCTTATGTCAGAATTTAATGTATCAGAACAAATAGTGTTCAGTTGTAATAAAACTTCATTTAAAATGTCCGGCATGTTTTCTTTTCATATAAGATACCAAGAATATTCGTTAAATTGATATCGCCCGCCGTAAAATACAAACCACTTGCCTCTCAAAGCTCTGATGTGCATAATTTGGGTGAAAATGATTTTGGTATCTCTATTTATTATGATGAAAACTCAGAATAAGTAATGAAATCTTTTGAGATATAGACGATTTATGAAAATTTATAACATCTTATGGTCAATTATGCAAAGTGTGTACTAAGAATTGCTAATTTACTATTATATGATTTAAGTGTAGCGAAGCATGCAAATTTAGCTTAAAATAATTTGAAAGAAATTAAACCCGGAATGAACATAATTTTAATATATTTAATATAAAGTGATTTAGCCATGATACTTCTGAGATAAACATGTATCTTACAAGGGCATTTCATTGAATCAGTATTTTAATCCTAAAATCTAAAACATTCAGTCACAAATTGTTGACATAGATTTTGAAAATAAAATGTTTTCATGTTTATAAACTACTACTGGTTTATTCTGAAAGGTAGTCAATTTGTTTTATTCTTAAGTACTAATGGATGTCTCTGGCTTACAATTTACAAACGCCCCGAACAAAAGAAACAACTGTTGAAATATTGCTACTCTATAAAGGAGTTATTCTTATACTTATTGAAACGATTTAAAAGCTTGCAATGTTGTGTCTATTAAAATTATTCGAATGGACATTCCCTACAAAGCTATCCATTTAAACCAATGAACTACACAAATGTAATGATATGGTACACTACATACTTACCAATGTATTGAGACATCTCTTCATAGGCAACTGAAAAGTAAGAAAAGGTGTCGCAATTATGGTTAGATAAGATATGGCTATCAAACAACATTACACTGATAACAATGTACAATCGTTCCAAAACGTGCATACAAACGGGATACAAACGAAACTACACGGCGCGATGGAGGAACTGCAGAAGACGGAAACCTTCATCGATGTGGCCCAAAACGCAACTTTTAAGCCATAATGGTATCATTGTAAACTACTGCATTTGTAATTTATAATCAGATATTATAAAATTTGAGAGAATTAACATACTGTCATGTGAAAACAAAATCACAATATCTATTAATATTTCAAGCATTGCATCAATTATTCACAATTCTAACACGACCCGCATTTTCCCCCCATTATGCAATAAAATCACAGTTTGACGTTCTATATTCAGACATGTCACGTAATAATTATACACATGACGTAACCACTAAAATGTGACGCGCTGAAAATGAATACGGAAACAAATAAGGAGCAATTTAGCTTAATATCAGCAGCATTTATTTGTTGATGTCGTGATAGAATCGAAATATTATATCCATAAAGGTGATTTTTATCGCTTTATTGAATCATTGTTTGTCGTTCGGATGATCATCATTATATCACTCAGCCTACACCCTCGTGATATAATTTCTAGCATCTGAACTCCAAAAAGTGATTTTATTGAGCGATAAAATCACTGTTAGAGATACATTACTTCTTAATTTTACCCTACCCTCATGTAGGAAAAGCAATCTATATGTATTTTCTGGACAATGTTTTAAATAAAACAAGGTAAAGGTAGCCTTGACCTTTTACCTCCTGACCCCAAAATCAGCAGTGACATTCGCTTTTTATGACAAGCCAAAAAACATCAACCTTTGGACTATATAGGCCGTAGTCTATTGATCCAAAAATTCAATTATCAAGATTTCGTGACTGACGTTTGACAGAATTATTTAAAAAAAGACAAGAGTCTTTGAGTAGTCATGACAAGCTTGCAAATTTAATGTTATAATTGTTAGCATTCTCTAGTTATAAGTCGTACAAGCTTTAATACTCAAGACCACGGTGACCCTGAAATTAATAAGGGTAATCTACAAGTTATGAAACACCTCAACATCAAATCTCAATACGGACCATCTACAACGAGTAGCCATGATTGATCACGGCACAAACTCTTAGAACTTTAGATCCTTGGTGGTATGGAAAATATTTTTCTTGAACTTAGGACCATGATTTGGACAATGTATGATAGTGAGTTTCAAGTAAAATATCTAAACTGTTTGCATTGTGCTTTCTAAAGAGAAGTAGTTTTTATGCTCTCCGAAGGGAGGGCATATAGTCGCCGCCTTGTCCGTCTGTCCGTATATTTTGTCTGGAGTATAACTGGAAAGCCCTTGGCATAATTTGTTAAAGCTTTCAGATTATGCTCCGGACATGATTTTCTAAAAGTAGAGATAATTTAAAAAACGGGGCAAAGGCAAAACAGAGTTACGGTTCTTTGACAGCACTCCGCCTCAACGCCCTCTTCCACTCTTATGATATTAAAATAGTAAAAGGCGTCTTTGCACACGTATGGCTTTTTAGATAAGAAAAATTAAAATAACGAATGATTTATTTTACTTATATTCTGTGTATCAATGTGTATTCGTCCATTGAAAAGAAGATAGCCTCGGGCTAATAAACCTTATAAAAGTTACAAGTACCAGGTTGCCGTTTATACATGTGCAATTAAAATATTTAGAAAAATAACAATGGAATAGCTTTAGTAAATCATCTAGGAAGGAAATAATGTTTTGTACGTAAGAACAGGTGTTATAATAGTTAGAAGATATGACATTCATGTATTCATTTCGAGCCGTACAATTTTATTTCGTAGTAAACTTACCCGACAGTATGATATGGATTCCGTTACGTTTATTTTCTCACAATTTGCTTAACAATTATACCGGAAGTAAACTTTTCAATTAACCCCCCTTTTTTCCGGCATGTGTATTAGAAGTCAGTTTCCCTTTTTTAGGCGACAAAATCGTTCCTGATTTTTTTCTCGTATTTTCGCTTCGGTTACAAATCAACTGTTTGTTGATACTAATAATTACTAGAGGAAGATGAAGTTCTTCCTACAGGCTCGAAGTCAGGTATTAATACGCCGAAAATTCCACTTAAAAGACGGTCCAGATATGATGTTTTTGGAAGCACAATGAAATGTTCTAAATTTGAGTATGGCACAGATTCTCAGTCGGATAGTGATTCGGATTTAAATCATGCTTTGTTTAACAGTTACATTTTGTCAATTTATGGGGATAATTATTTGTCAGATGAAGACAAGGATTCTAATAAAGGGCAATTTGATGAGAGAAAAAAACTTTCAGATTCTACTTGACTTTTTTCGTGAAGATGCTACGGTAACATATTTCATTAAGAAGGAAGGTATTTCTTTGGACAATTCTCATAAGGATGTCTTGAATGAACGTTGTTCATAGTTCCATGAAAAATGTTTAATCAGACCCGTGATAACTTTAAAGCCATTTAACCGGTATTTCAGGAAACCTCACTTTAAAAATGGATACAATTTTGAAAGTTTTAAATCTAGTTCAAAAAAGGGATTATGTAATAAACCTGGACTTCAAAGACGGTTATTTTCATATAAAAATGTTCGAGGGTCACAGAAAATATTTCCATTTTTGTTTCAAAGGTCAATTGTACCAATACCGGGGCCTACACTTCGGCCCCACGTCAGCTCCAATGGTGTTTTGCAATATAATGTCTACATTGTAGCACATCTCAGACAACAAGGTCTTTTTCTAGACGACTGGTTAGCTGTCAATCAGACTTTTTCAAAGATGATGTCAGATGTAAAGATTACTCTAGAACTCCTTTTTTCAACTAGGGTAAATAGTAAACAAGAAAAACAAGAAAACAACTTATCCCGTTCCTTCTCAGATCTTCTCTTACATTGGCTACAACAAAAGTGTTAGTATATCCGACACAAGAGAGAATAAGGAATGTAAAGCAACAAGTTCTAAATTTGATAAAAGAGTCGAATTCAGCACAACAGTATATGATTGTGCTGGACTTGATAGCCTCGTGTTTAGATTTAATTTTAAATGCACGGTTATTCATGAGAGCTTCATTTACTCAAGACTTGGAGTCCGACAGGAATGCATTTGTCTTATATATACCCGTGACTCATAGCTGAGATATCAGCTCCGTTGGTGGTTATAAGATTAAAACATTTCAAGGGAAGATCTCTTTTCCTTTCCAGTATCTGCAACCACCGATACGATATGAACTTGGGGATGGGGTGGTCACATGAACAACTTTTTCGTTAAAGGTTGTTGGTCAAAGATCGAGAAGTAGACTCGTTGCTCTATTAACTTTGGAGTTATTGGATCTGGCATTGAATCACAACATTGTGTTGAAAGCAGTTCACATAATGGTGAATGGAAGATTTAAGGATTGTGGGATACAGAATGGAGTTTGACTAAAACAGTTACATCTCAAATTTCCAACATTTTGAGGTCAACCTCTGATAGTTCTTTTTGCAACTGAGGAGAACGAACAAACAACATGGTTTTGCTCATGGCTTCTACAATCCCAAGCATTTGCTCTGCATGCCCTGTCTATTGCATTGCAGAACAGAGCATATGCGTTTCCGAATATATATTTAATTCTAAAAGTATTGAACCATATGAAATTATTCTGCTGAAGACTGATTTTAGCCCCGTATTGGCCAAGATAGTACTGGTTGCCACAGCTGTTGTTGATAGCACAAATAAATCTTCCTGTGTCACAGAATCTGTGCAAGGGGAAAATATTTCACAAGACCTCATGGTCTTTAGTTGACTGCATGGCCTCTATCGACAGTCTTGAGATCAAAAGGAGGGCGTCCGCGGCCGAGTGGTTAAGGTCGTTGACTTCAAGCCACTTGCCCCTCACCGCTGTTAGTTCGAATCCCGACAGGGACTTTAGATTCTTTCATATGACGAAGCTATCCAGCTAGCTTAAGGAACGTCGGTGGTTCTACTCAGGTGCCCGTTCGGTTGTGAAATAAGGCACGGAAGGGCACGTGAGGTCTTCCTCCACCAGTAAAGCTGGAACGTCGCCATATGACCTATACTGTGTCGATGTGACGTAAAACCCAATCAAACAAACAATCAGATCAAACGGATTTTCTGAATAAACAAAAACTTCATGGCAAAAAGGTACTAGAAGAGATAAATTTAAACCGATGGTGGACGCATCTGTGAAGTTTTATACATGGAAGGTGTTTTAATAGATATTTCCTGTTTTCGTCGTTGCAGTTATCTGCATGCTAGTAATTAGGTAGGTAACATAATATTCAGAAGAAACGAATAACTTTTATACGTTCCGGTTTGGCTAAGGAAGACAGACCAAGAAATTATTCTAGAAAGAAAGATATTCGTTCCATCTTTTTCGAGGGACACATTTTCCTGACCCAAAAAGGGCTTTGGTTAATTACTAGAAAAAGACTGAAAGTTTTAGGATTAAAGACTATAAAAATGACTTAAACTTTTCTTAAGTGTTATTAAACTTCATCATTCAGTGCAACGTCAGACTAGATTTCTAAATGGTTTGTTAATATTATTAAACGTGCCTACGAAAGGAACAAGAACACTACTGGACCAGACAAGAAGTATTTGACCTTCATGGGCATTATTCAAAGGTGAGTCTTGAGAGCGTGAGGGCTGTTGCATTTTTTCATAATCCCTCATGTATAGGCTCAATGGAACCGAGTCTGCAATTTTCATGTCAATTTGCTGTTTTAATGCTTCCGAGGGATCACTTTTTTCGAGATATTTATACAACACAAAAGTGATGTCAAGTGTTGTGAGGCAGCCGAAAAAAAGTTGCCCCGTACTTCACTTCAGCGTTGTTATATTTTTCTTGTTCCTTTGGATCATTGAGTTCAGCACTTTTGAAAGTTGAGAATAAAGTACAGCTCGTCCAGCACTTTAAAGTTTTGAGAATCGAGCACTGTTCAAGCCAGTGCTAGTGGCGTGAGAAATGTTGCACTTTTTCATTATCCCTTATGTACATACTCAATCAAACCGAGTCTGCAAATCGCATGCACATTTGCTGTTTTTAATGTTTCCGAGGGATCACTTTTTCCAGATATTTGGATCAGGTACTTGATGCGACAGGTTGGCCACCAGAGATAACTTTCATTATCTTAAAAATAGAAGCAAATGTATTAGATTTTCAGTCATGTTGTTACAGAAGTTATTTCATTTTACCAAGGTTGTGTGTACAAATGTTTTGATTGTTACTCCGGCGAATTGCGGCTGGGTGATTTGTTACCAAGATTTGTGTATTTGCGGTTATTCCCGTACAGTTGAGATAGACTTATATTTATTATTGTGCAACTGTAATGAGTGAGTGAACAGTTATACATATAAAATATTGGTGTTGTCTTACTTAACCAGGTGTGGTAAAAATGGATACTGTGACCATTTTAAGTAATTGTTTAATATCTGTACTTTTCTTTGATGTATTAAAGTTATGTTTCATAAGTAAATGATATTTTTAAAACTTTTAACTACCAATCTCCTTTCATTACTGTTTTTAATCTGGTTTAAACCATATAATATTGTTGTGTAAGTTTTTTAACGAAATGAAAATTGAAAATTTGTTTTTAAATTTAGGTAATAAATATGAGTTAACAAAATACACCAGACAAAACACTACCCACTCAAACCTTTCCCTTTCTGTTAAAGTATCTGGTCGATTTGGTCACGTCATGTAAAACTGACTTC